GATGCAATAGCCCTCGCATCCAAGCCCTGGCAGCACGTTGCTGTCACACATACAAGTACACAAGCATTGCTGGAGTGGTCGAAAATGGAGTCTTTCTCAGCACCCTGACCGCTGAGTATCCAGGAAGGGTTTCGAAAACAGGGGTCGTGAAGCGTGCGCTGCAGCTGCGCAGCACCTTTCCAGCGCAGCCCAGTCTCGCGCCGTGCCGACTCCCTGTCTTCCAAAATTTTGGAGGTCGCAGGCAGCGCCGTGCACTGCCTTGACGACATCCCGCGCATTCCAGGCACCAGCAAGCCTACGCGGGTTCGCGTAGCGGACCCGAACAACCCTTTCACCGCCCTCTACAAAGCCAGCCAAGCTTGCCTGGAATGGTTGGGGTCGTGTCTCAAGCACTCTCCCACACAGCCTTTGGCAAAGCAACCCCAATTGCAAGCCTTGGCAGCCGCAGATGCCTGCGCTGAAGAGGAAATTGTGGGCATAGGTGGTTGGGCAGTCACATCCTCGCAAGTGGTGTGGTTTGCAGAAACCTGGACTATGCAGGATGTCCGTCGAGTGTGGCCCTGCCTTTCCAAGCCTGCGCAGCGTTACATCGCGTGCTTCGAAACACTAGGCGCTCCTCCAGGCCACGCATAGCCACATTGGAGGCGGGCGCTACTCTTCTAGCATGCTGTCAGGCACTGACAACTCGGCAGCAGAAGCAGGCATTAACAAGATGTTCACAACATCTTGGCCTTTGCAAATTTTTGTGCAGCTTGTCGCCTCTTGGGCGCATGCCAAAAACGTTCTTCTGCAACCGACTCACCTGCCAGGGCGCTACAATGAATGGGCAGACGATTTGAGCAGGAATCGCCTTGCGCGTTTCGCCCACCGCCCTGCCAATCGCGTGCGCTTCAGCCCCGCCGGCCTTGCACAAGCTGGAAGATGCTGGAAGGGGCAGAGGCACCATGGCGCCCAGAACATCTGGCTGCAGCCGCCGGGCATGTGTGACGTATGGCTTGCTAGCCGTCCGGCTCCTGAAAGCCAGTGTGGGCTTTCGACCGCAGCGCGCGCTCGCCCTCTGCATTTCGCACTGAGGGGCTTTTCCGCAGCCAGAAGACCTGGCTGCGATGGCCGAGTTTGCGCCCAAACTCCAAGCATCAGAAAATGCACTGATAAAAGTCGCTGCATTAAGGGGTCAGCAATGCCCTCGCATTGCCTGTCCCTGTGCTTCGTCCCGCCGCAGGTGCAACCCCGCACTGAAGAGGGGGACTTTGCGCCTGGGCCTCAATCGGCTGTTACCGGGGTTGCCTTGGGAAGCACTGAAGGAGGGGAACATCTCGCCCCTTGTCCTAGGTGCACCGCAGTGCCCTGGGAAAGTGCCACCTTCCCAAGCAACCCGGTAAAAAGGTGTGCGCCTTGCTGTCAGCTTTTGGGTTCTGGGTTCTTTGTGGTTTGAGGCTAGGAGCAGTGCGCGGGACCTTTAACAAAAGAAGCCCCTCGGTTTCTCAATTTTCTTTCTGTGCGAAATATATTTTAGATTTGCAAAATCTGTATATATATATACGTGTACGAAAAATACAAATATGTTTCTATTTTCAATATTTTGGTCTGGGTCTGCTCAACTTTGTTTTCTGTTGGGTCGACGCTTAGCATGCGGGCGGAGGTTGGTTTGTGCATTGTTGTTCAAAGTCTTGGGTTTTGAAGCGGTGCAACAAGGAAATGCCCCCTCACAGTGGGAGAGTGCGGTTGGTTCTCTCAGACTACGCCCAAGCGGATCGCATTGTGTTTGCAGCGAGTTAGTTTTCAGGACATGCCAGCTGGTGACGTGCAGTGCGGAAACCCGAGCTTGTGACTGTGTCAAACTGCATGCGCAAAGTATTGCGTGGTTGGGACGCTGGTTTGTCCGAACCAACCTACTGCTTTGCATCAAGATTTGCGCAGGGACCCAACAACTTTGGAATTCTTGTCGGCCATGATTCCAACAACAAGTGTGTCAAGTAAGTGTGTCAAGTGCTGTCAAGCAACCAAGCCAATGAAGTTGATCGGCCTGAGTAAATGCAGCGTACCTGGAGAAACATGCTGCCAGTTTGCCAAGCTCAGCTTGAATTGGTGTATAAGCCGTTTGAGACTTAGAGAGCCTACTTGTGCACAAGTTTGTGACAACTCAATAGACAATGACCAGCACAGCGCATATTCCAGTCCAGGTTCCAAGCTTGTTTGTTGACCGCCACATCGGATGCCATGATGATGCGCTCAGGCTTGGCGTTGCAGTTGCGCCAACAGCATGCCGATCATGGCTCAATATTTGCTTCTGCGTTGCAGGCCGCTTCATGAGCAATGACTGCTTGTTCTTGAGTGAGAACCAAATCTGTCTTTTGCAAAAGCTGCTGTGTCGGAGGCAGCGGTGCAAGTGACTACAGTGCAAGTTCAGTCGTTTTGGATTCACATTTCATGTTTCAGGTGTTCTCTGACCAGTTCGCCCATGTTGGAGCCATTCGAAGAAGCTCTGATTGCAAGAGACAGTCGAAAGCAGTCGGATGTGAGCATAATATTGCGTTCTTGTATTTGTCCGTGGCGTAACAAGCTGCCATTGAACAATGGTGACAACTTGCAAATCTGAAACCAATTTCTCTCCTTGTTGCTTGGATCGATTTTTAACAGTTTCATGTGTGCACTTAGGAGTTGAGTCGAGACAGCTGGGAGTGGCATCGGCCTGAGACAAGCGAGAGGCCATGCGGAGAGAGTTTGCTTCGGTGGATGCAGGCCCCTGGCTGATCCAGAATAGCAACTTTGCAGTGTGCAAAGTAGAGGACTTTTGGAGGCCGTCGAACATGTTTTTCATGCTTTCCATCAGACTCACGTCCATCCCTCACGGATTTGCAATGATTGATTTGGACCATGCTGTGCAGGATAGAACTGCCGCAAATTCCGGCAGCTTGGTGGAACGGTGGTTCACTGCCTGTTCAGCTGCAGCTCCGGGCAACTCGTGCTTTCAAAGCTATTATGGCTTCCTGGTTGCGCCGCATCTCGCCCAACCATCACATGTTGCAACTCAGTCATCTCCTGTCCTCAAAGATGCTGGGCCTAATGAGTTGGCTGGATCATTTTCAGTATCGGGCGCAACGTAGCAATTTTCTCTCTTCAAAAGTGCGCACCTGATTGCACCATTTGCTTTAGATGAATGCTACTGTCTAAAGATTCTGCCTGAATACCGCGATGGTTGATTCTGTTGCTGCCAAGCTCTTTTGAGTGCAACCGGACCGACCTTGGTTGCAGAATAGCACCTAGATCGGTCACTTATTCAGTCACCCTTTTACATTGGATGCAGCTTGATCATGGTCACTGGCTCATTCAAAACGGATGGTTGCTATATTGATGTCATGTAGAAGCACACATCCGTGCACTGCAATGTCTACTGAAGGCGACTGCAGTGCAAAAAGGACATCTGGCAGGCTGCAAGAAGGCCAGACATGTAGGAGGCGTGCCACGTTTGCGGATGTGCTGGTGGAGAAATCAGCCTGCGACTCACATCCAGCTTCCTTGATGCTTGATCCGCTTGCGGATTGCTTCATCCCATCTTCAACGCCAACTTGTGTTTGCTCTGTCCCATGAATTGCTTGGGGCTATGGGTTTTTGGCTTCCCACCTTGGCAACGCTGCTTGTCAGCCACGGTGAATTCCGTATCGAGGGATTCTTGAGATGTGCTTTCTCCACTTCTCGAGAAGACAGCGCTTGGTGCCCCCTGTTTGCCGTCCCTTGTGCGAACAACCCAGATTTCAGCAGGGTCGATTGCACAAAGTGACTGTGGCATGCTCACACTCTCGCTCGTGGTAGGCATGTTGCCTTGAAAGCGCTTTCCAAGGCACGGACCATGCTGTGGTGCAGCAGATGCGTACCGGTCTTTCGATGTCAAGTGGACCGGAGGCGGCAGAAGCGGCTTGGCTGAAGCCCCATGCTGATTTTCGTTTGCCGATTTTTCTTGTGGCTCTTCAAGTAGCCAACATTCACAATCGTTTCTTGATTAGTGAGGCAAACTCTTGCACTCCAGACATTCTCACACATCCTTCAACTCCTCTGTTCACAAATGTTTCAAACATGTGTAGATTCCTCCAGTTGCTGCCTGTGCGCATTCACACTGCTCTACTGATATTTGGAGCTGCATGGGACACACACACACACAAGCAACGAACAGCATCTACTCGTAGATGGAACCTCAAAAGCCTATGACAGGTGGCCGCAAGATAAAGGTGCAAGTTACATTTGTCAGCTTCAGGTGACGGATGTACATGTCCGAAGCCGGGCCAAAGTTGCCGGATTGGACCGACTCCGTGTCAGCTGGCCAATCCGACGCTCGGATGCAAACATCTGCGACTCCATTTGCTTGACTGACAAGTTGCTATGATCTCAGTCAAAGTTGTGCATCCTCCAAACTGGTTGGCGGCCACAAATCACCATGTCAGTGACGTGGTCCTCAATTTGAAACTCACACCCAAATAAGGCGTGCTGAGCCAAGAAAGTATCCGGCTTGTCGTGAAGATGGGCAGATGGGCAGGAGAGATCGGAGATTTGCATTCCGAGCACCAGGTACCCCACCCGAACCCGAACCCGAGAACGAACCGAACCCCCCCCAAAAAAAGAAGAGCACAGAGCCCAAACCCGAACCCGAACCCAAACCCGAGAACCTGAAATCGAACCCGAACCCGAATCCGGAAACGCGCTGTGCATTGCGGCAACTTTGTCGAAATGCAGAAGCGGCGGCTGCGCGTGGCCTCCTGAGAGACTAGAATCCATGGAGGATTTTTTCTTGAGCTGGAGGGGCTTCGAGCAAATGAGGCGGGCCGCTCAGTTTACGTCGCGTGCGAGTGCGCTGGCATAGGAGTTCGCTGCAAGAAGAGCGTGTTTCAGACCTGACAACGTGGACTATCAGAGACGCAGTTTCATCGCAGCGGGCTCTAGAGCGGGAGTGCATAGGTTAGGGTGTGTGCGTGTCCGTGCTGCGGTCAGGGCGAAGTCTCTGGCAGGCATGAGCGCGGCGCTGGCGGCTGCGCTTCTGACGACAGCCTGCGCGCAAGCTTGAGCTTGCGGCCGTCGTGCCAGCGTGGCCTGAACAAGAAGGCAGATCTGCCGATCGCACGGGATGCATCACGGCTGGGACCCAGCAGCTGCAGATCTTGTCCATGGCGCAGGCCCACCGTCCCTTGCTGGGCGTCTGCCCGGACGAGGCAACTTTGGTTCAGCAGGCCATGCTGGAGTCGCTGGAGGTGCTGCCCCTCAGGTTGGCTGGTTTTTGCTCGCTCGCAAGTTTGCTTGACTTTTGTTTAGAGTGCTTCTGGCAGCGGGCCTTTGTTCGAGCAGGAGTGCGAGAGAGCGTTGGCTTTGGTGGAGTGGTGACTGCGGAGGAGGAGGAGTTGGCAAGTAAGGATTTGCTTCAGCACTGCTGTTGCAGACCGCGCGGCAAGCTCTATTGAAAAAGCACGGGGGGCTGAGGAGGTTCGGCGACCTGGGCCTGGAGGGGAAGCTGACCAAGGGATGCCTGTTTGGAGATCGAGATCTTCACGATGCGATTCTGGAATGTGGCAGCTCAAAGCAGCTCTTCCCATCATCCTTGCACAGGCCGGCTATGACGGAGGACGCAGCCACGGTCCATTGCCCCTTTGTTGACATTGGGCCTCCGCATGGGCGTGGGAGGTGGAGAGGAGGTTTTAGATAGACACTTGTGTGCGAAGATTTTCCGGTGGCCAGCCTGCCTCCATGCGAGACCGGGTGGTGTTTAGGCAAGTCTGACGTTAGGCCTGCTGCTGATTCTGCTGCAAGCCCTTTTGAGCGTCGGCTCTCGATCCGCTTGATATTTGTGATCTCTCACCGCTTCGCGAAGGGTTCTGCGTGGTGGACAAACTGAGCGACTTCTGCCGACGTTAGTGCAAGGTCAGCGTGGCGGTCATCGTCGCGCAGATCTTGGCAAACAGAACCGATGTCGATTTTGCATCTTGAATTTGTGTATGCAAAGAGGGCAAAAAGGTGCTATCTTCTTGTTCTTCTTCTTGTTGTTGTTGTTGTGGTGGTGGTGGTGGTTGTCGTCGCTGTTGTCGCTGCTGTGATGACAACACAGCAGGCAAATGCGCCTGCGATGTCTCTTAGAACAGACGCCTTCTTGAGCTTGGCTAGACCAAGTGCAAGTTTATATTACATGTTTGCCCTGCTGCTGCCTTCGGCGCGAAGAGAGTTGTTGCTCCGCTAAGCCGCTAACGCACGTATATTTGCCACGCCCGAGGAGAACTTGACAACGATCACCGATTGACTGTCCTGTTCGTGAACCTTCTCCTGGTGTTGTTGTGAAACACATCTTGTGTGCAGGGACATGGCAGCGACATACGATTGCTGCAGCGCACAGTTGGGTTCAATTCCCAACTGAAATATCAACGGCCCGCCATGTTTTGGAGTCCACGGCCTGGGACGCTTCACGTCGGCGTCTACTCGTCACCTTGAGTTGAAACCAGGCATATTTTTGTGAACTCCTTGGAGTTGAGGCCTTGTAAAATTCTGCATAGATTCTGTGCGGGATGCTTTCTCAGATTTGTCCTGAGACGCGCCGATTTGTAGGTGTTTGCTTTCGACTGCTCTCGCTGGCAGGGCATGGATCAATCCTGAATTAAAATGCCGCCGCCAACCCCCCCCCCTTTTTGCCCCTGGTTTGTTTGCTGCGGGTTGTTTGGCTTCCTTTCAGACGAGGGGGCATGAGTTTTGCTGCGCTTGACAGGTTTGAGCGTACATGTTTAGATTTGCTGAAATGAGCATGTTCTTTGGATCTGCAAGTTTTGGCTAAGTGGTCATGGAGGGCCTTTGGAATGCCCTGCGCTCGTCCGGCCAAGAATCTTTGGCCCCGCTGTTGCTTCGCCATGGGGTGCGGAGCGTTGCAGCTGTGCAGCTGCAGGCCTCTGAGTTGATAGAGGCGGGTGTTCAACCGTGGCAGGTTGAAGCCATTCTTGTCGGGTGCGCTCAGCAGGCAGTTGCCCCAGCCGTTGGCCTTAGGCGTGACTTGCCGGCCCCTATTTCTGGCAAGCGAGCCAATTTAGTTGCTGCCCTCGAGGCTGCAATGCCCAACCAAAGACAGAGGAGTCTCGCTTTGTTGGATCGAGACGTGTTGGCTCGTTCCACTGCCCCGGCCAACGAGGCGAGGATTCGCACATACGTGGCAATTTGCCACGCGTGGGATTTGGAGCCTTGGCCGCTGTCTACGCGGAACGTTCGAGCCTTTGCAGCGAGTCTCAAGCACGGTGGCTACCGTAGCTCTGCTGTCTAATTCCAAGCGCTGTGCAGCCATCAACAACGGTCTTTGCAAACAGTGGTACCTCCCTTGATTCGGCATTGCATTCGAGATTGCATTCGCTCTATTCAGAGGGGGCTCGGTGTGAGTCGGTTGAAGGATAGCTTCAGCTTCCTGCAGGTGGGTTCCACCCCTTTTTTGCAGGATGCAAGCCCATTCAGTTTCAATTCTCTTCCGCATGCACGCGACATGTGCGTGATTGGCGGGTGGTTCATGCTGCGTGAATCTGAACTGGCCTCGGCTCGGTTGCACGGTTCGGCTCTTGATCCCCTTGCACAAGCCGACACCCATGGCAGGTTGGTGGAACGCTGCCTGTCATGCTCCTGCCGCATCAGGCAACATGGCCTGTGCGTTTTGCGCGCAGCTGGGCGGCATCTCGCCCGTGTGCAGGCCAATTTGGGTGACCGTAGCGCCCACCTCTACCCATTGTTTCCTTCTTGCGACGGACAGACGGCCAGCAAGGCCTGCTTCATCGCAGCGATCAGGCAGGTGATTTCGGCAACCGGAACGCCGCTGATGCGCTGGGAAGGAGCTCAATCGTTTTGGTGGCCACGTCCTCCGGGTCAGTGGCGCTCAGATGCTTGCTGCAGCTGGAGTTAGTGTACAGCTGATACAGCTGCTTGGACGCTGGACTTCTGTGTCTGTTCAGCGGTACACCCAGGATGCGGGGCTTGCCGTGGTTCCTGACATTCCGAAAGCTGTGCTACATCCTTTTGACGGACCCGACAATGGTATTTCGCTTGAGCCGGTCATCAGAGGCCTGCCTCCTGAGATGTCGAGCGTTCCCAGCACAGTTGCTCTACAGCCTGCTCGGGCTCAGCGTGCTGAGTTGCCTTTGTTGGCAGGATGTTCAGGATCTTCGGAGCGAGTTGGCGGCCTTGAAGGCTGCGATTGACAGGCCAAACGGCGGCTTTGTGGTCAGGTGACGAACTTTCCAACCCCCCTGCTCAGTGGCGTAGCAGCTGTGGTTGGGTTTACGGCACAGCAAATTTTTTGCGGGTGGCTGAGATTGCACCATCTTTGAGGAAGTGCCGTAAATGTTTCCCGGACGGCCTTGACTCGGGGTCAAGTGACGGGTCTTCCAGCCCGTCTTCGTCACTGGTGTCATCCAGCGAGGAGAGTTCGGAGTGACCAGCAGAGGTAGATCTTGCAAGCTTGAAAACGCTGCATTTAGGTTGCTGGCGCGTCATTGCGCTTGTTTGGCCTCTGCCAAGCTGTTTTCAGCAAAAGCCGGCCCAATGGCCGTTGTATCAATGGCAGGTCCAATGGCCGTTTTATCAACGCCAGGCCCAATGGCTGTTTTATCAAGGTAGAAGCAACCGGACGGCCAGACCTCCAGATTTCAGCAAATGGCCGTTTTAACAACGGGTAAGCTATTTTCAGCAAAAGCTTGCCCAATGGCTGTTTTATCAACGCGAGGCCCAATGGCCGTTTTATCAACGCCAGGCCCAATGGCCGTTTTATCAAGGCAGAGACAACGGATGGCCAGACCTGTAGATTTCAGCCGCAAATTGCAATTTCGCTATTATCCCGCACAATCAATTTATCAGCGGCCGGGCCAAGCTGTTTTCAGCAAAAGCCGGCCCAATGGCCGTTGTATCAATGGCAGGTCCAATGGCCGTTTTATCAACGCCAGGCCCAATGGCCGTTTTATCAAGGCAGAAGCAGCCAAATGGCCAGACAAAGCTGACGAAACGCGGCTCGATTGCCGTTTTATCATTGACAGCTAGTTTTATCGCCCCCAATGGCTGTTTTATCAAGGCCAATGGCCGTTTTATCAAGCCAAGGCAGCCCGTAGACCATTTTAAATCAAGCCAAGGCAGCCCGTAGACCATTTTATCGCCCTGCCCTTGCCAGGTTTTCTAACACGACCTTTGGCTCATGCGAGTTATATGTTTGTGCACTCAGCTGACCCAGCTGGATAGGAATCATGGCGGCTGGGTCTTCGCCCATGCCGGCACTCAGTGACCTGCTGCACGATGCTGCGGCTGGTGACACTATCAAGGACTACTTGGCAGACCGATCCATTCGCACCACGGCAACCTTGGCTTTGTTAGCAAAGGATGAGTCTCAGTTGGAGCAGGTCCTCATCGTCCCCTTGACCTCTGGCTGGGAGTGCACAGACGGTCGCGCCCTGACGTTGGCGGCCTCGGAGAAGCCAATCGCTCAAGCCATCCTGCGGCACATGTGGAATGAGGCGAGGGCAGGTTGGGACCGTCACATGGCAGCAAACCGAAACGCGGTTGCAGCCACTTCCGGCTCCGCCCCTGCGCCGTCACCTGCTGCGGATGACAGGGTGCCCAAGCAGTTGCCGGCAAACGTGTGGTCTTCCCTGATCAACGATTACCAGTCACAGCAGATCGGAGGCTTTGATCGGGTTTTCCCGGTCAACGAACTGCTGGGGGCTGAGCGCATCGTGGCAAGGGTTTACCACGAACACGTCGTCAGCAAGAACTATGGTCCTATCCATCTAGGCGAGATCGTGGCAGCCCGCACGTTCAGTGCTAGCGGAGAACCAAACCCCTTGGCCAAGAAAGATCGCGCTGCTACAACTCTGACCGTGACAGGTGACAAGCTGCCAGAGGAGTTGTGGTCGCCTCGCAGCGTTTTGTCCGTGATTGGCGGCCTCAACAGCATTCGCTGGTGCATGCTACGTGAGGAGCTTCGGCTTGGGCGCATGTCAGGCCCGTATGCGGCCCCATCCTGGTGGCCAGTTTCGGCAGTTGCACTGCATGGTGTTGATCCGATGCCCCTTCCCGACGAGCAGATCACGGCTTTGTTTTGCTTCAGCGTTGACGCGCCGTTGCGAGGACTTCAAGAGAAGTGGCTTGAATGACACAGTTGAGGTTCATGATGCTCCTCATCATGATGACATTCCTGTGTACGTTGAGCTAGTCAAGGCGTTTGCTGCTTTGGGCTGCCCGGCCAAGCTGTGGGCGCAAGATCTCCAC